ACTGGCACAGCCACACTGTCACTGAGCTGGTACAGGTGAGGGCAAGCCCAGGTCCACCCAACTTCAAAGGCCATGCTTTTTTTCTCCGTTGCCATTTACTCATTCATTAGGCAATGAGCTACCAAGCATCTGCTGTGTGCCAGGCCTGTGCCAGATGCCGAGGACTCAGCCACAAGCAAAACAGGCATTGCTTTTGCGGAATTTACAATCAAGACATTAAAGAAGAAAGAATATAAAGAGATATTTACAACTGCAAACTGGAAGGAACACCATCGTGGATCAAGTTCAACTGGTAACTTTACCTACAAGGCCACACAGATAGTTTCCAGAATGCTGATAATCTGAAAAGCCCTTCACCTACTGCACACGAGGGAAAGACTTAAAGAAATAGCCTGTCAGATTGAGTAGCACAGGTCTGGCCAACCTAAGAGTCCTTAGGGCAGAAGCTAGTTTCTCTCTAGCTCAGCACAAACCCTGTTAAAAACAAAAGTCTTTCTAAAAGCAAGAGCAACTATCAATTCAATTTACATATCCCAACCTCAAATGAACATCACTTAATCATGTACATACTTATAGCAACTGAGATCACTGACAGATTCATTTGTATGAACCTCAGAGAAGCCCTAGGCAGAATAAAGAAAGGTTTTAATATCCTACTTGAGAGATGAGAAAACTAAGGCCAAGGCAGGTGACATGACTTAGTCAAGGTCACCAAACTAAGAAAGCACCCAACTCTGCCATCCAACTTTCTAAAAGCACCTCCAGTCAGGAAACCGCAAATCTCAATGAGACAGCTGCAGGTCACCAAGCTCGGGCAAAGTCACCCAGGAGTCCCATGAAGTTCCCAAGAACAATGATTGGGGACATTAAGCAGTTTGGGAAAGGTTTCTAGAATGCAGCTCCCCTAGCCTGAGACACAGGTACCTTGCCAATTCTCCCAGATCAGAGCAGGTTCTCCTGGCCTCTCTCCAGGTGCCTCTGACTAACAGAGAAACGTACTTTTCCATTGCAAACACTGCGGGCGGGCAACAGACTCCTGAGAGGGGAGGGCAGAGAGTACGTCCACACTCACAGACCATCTGGAAAGTTATTCTGATGCCATCAAAACTGCCTTAGTTAAGTAAGTACCTACCACTGGGGACCCAGTCCTCAGCAGCATACCTCCACCTGGATGACACTAGTATTTGGACTACCTACGTTTGGGGTACTGAGTGGGGACACTGCACCATTAGGATATTCAGCTGCATCCTCGACCTCTGCCCAGTGGTCACCAGTAACAACTCCAGCTGTCACAGGCACAAGTCTCCAGCCCTTGCAAATGTCCCCTGCAGGACAAAAATCACCTGCTTGAGAGGCATTGGTCTAGAGACTACAGAGCGGGGGAGGCAAAGTGCTCTGTCTTCCTCTCACCCTGTTCCATCCCATCCTCTGGTGAGACACATGGTCTCTATGCACAAACTCTCTTTTTAATCGGTATCACACACCAAATGCCTCTGGTTAAGTAGTTGTGTGCTGCTGTGGTCTTGCAAGTATGTTCCAGAAAGAATCTGCCACTGGAGCTCAGAAACAACAGAGTCAAAGAGTTTATTCCACTAATGAGCCACTTGAGACCCCACGTGGAAATCCTGTTCTGTCACTGTGAAGAGCTGAGTCTGATTAAACAGAAGCCCTGCGTGCTGCTTCTCAGTGACACCAGACCAGGGCTTGCAGTGTGAGAACACAGAACTGGTGAATCAAATAGTAGGAGACTCCCATTTACCTCTGTTCAGTACAATAAGGGACTCACTCTCCCCAGCTTAGACCCATTCTGGACTTGGGAGAAGGGGAAAGTGGCAAGACACATAAACAAGTGGACTGAATTAACAAGTTAATTAGACAGCTGAACCATTACAAAAAAAAAAAAAAAAAATCACACTCCCAAGTGGAGGTGGAAACATAAAGCTGAGCTCCAAGCAGCTGGAGTGACTCAAGACACTGTCAGGGACACGGGCTCCAACCTCCCACCCCAGGGCTGGCCAGGGGCCCAGACTTGAGATCTGAATCCACTACAGTGCTTCAAAGAAGCAACACCTTTCTATCTTTGGTAGTCAGCCACTTAACCAGGGAGAGGATTTACTGAGACAGGAGCACACTCACTCCTCCACTCCCCCTTGGTAGTGTTTTACTGTGCTGCAACTCTTTGAAGACTAACCATGAACCGCCCACCTGTTAACACCTAATTACTCAGACTCCCGCTGCTCATGATGACTTCTCACTTTGTGCTTGGTTCAGTGTCTGCACTTCTCAAAGGGTGCTGAAATCTGACACAGGCCTGCTTCCCCTAAGGGGCACCATAAGGGAAAGATTCACCTATAGTACAGGCACGGTGCAGACAGAGACTCTTGCCATTTATTGGATGGATGGATGGATGGATGGACAGATGGATGGGACTGACAGGAAGTTTTCTACCTCTATATTCTTAAAACTTAAGTCTGCCTACACATTATAGAGAGAGAGCAAGGCCCATGTCTTTTCTGCTGTTTCTCTAAGCCGTAGCATACTGCTCAAGCGGGGTCTAATGAACATTAACTGCTTTGTCTGAACTTCTGAATCCAAAGAGACAAAGTGAAGCCTTCTGTTCATGAACCACTGAGGCCCTGAAAAGAGACAGAAATCCCAGCTGCCTATTCTGCCTCCTACATACTGGAGAAGGCTTAGTCTCTTCAAACTACAGTTTCTGTTTATGTGTTTTATTGTTGTTGGGTTTTTGCTTTAATATTTTGTGTGTGTATGTCTGTGTGGATATGCCATAGGTGTGTAGGTGCCACAAAGGCAGGAGGAGGGCATCAGATCATTTGGAGCAGGAGTTACAGGCAGTTATGAGCTGCCTGACGTGGATGCCAGGAACTGAACCTGGGTCCTCTGGAAGAGCAACAAGTGTTCTTAACTGCCGAGTTATCGCTCAGTCCCCATGTTTTAAAAGACGTGTGCGTGTGTGTGTGTGTGTGTGTGTGTGTGTGTGTGTGTGTTTATCTGTCTGTGTTTATCTGTCTGTCTGCCTGTCTGCTTGAATGTATGCATACATGAGTAGGAAGAGGCCAAAAGAGAGTGTCAGATCCCTCAGCTAGAGGTGCAGGTTTTGAAGGACGCCTGGCTTGTGGCTTATCACATCCATGCTGGGATTTGAACTCCATCCTCATGATTGTGCAGCAAGTATTCTGAGTCATCTCTCCAGGCCCCAACCTTGATCTCTGAGACAGGGTCTCTCACAGGTCTAAAACTAGGCCTAGAATAGGCTAGGCTGGTTAGGCAGTTGAGTCCCAAGAATCTATCTGCCTGTCTCTACCTCCCCAGTACTGGGATTACACACAGACCAACATTCCCAGCTTTTTGTTTTTGAATGTGGGTTCTGGGATTTAACACAAGTCTTCAAGAAGGCAGGCACTTTGCCAATTGAGCTATCTCCCCAGCCCCTGATGTTGTTTCTGAGATAAAGTCTCATGTATTCCAAAATGACCTCAAACTCTCTATATGGTTGAGGATGACCTTGAACTCCTGATCTGTCTCCACTTCCCAGTGCTGGGATGACAGGTGTGCACCTCCCTGACTAGTTCATGTGGTGCTAGAGATCAAACCCAGAGCTTCAAGCATGTTAGGTAAGCACTCTACCAGCTGAGCTACATCCCCAGCCCTAGAAACAGTTTAACACAGAAAAATGATGACATTTTCTGACAGGCACTGGAGACACAAAAGTGAACAAGACTAATGTAGCAGCTTCCCTCATGGAGCTTACTATCCAGAGAGACCAACAACTACACCAACAAGCAGTACTGCACAGTGAGTCTAACCAAAGGTTATATGGGCTCCATCTTCAAGCAGTCTGAACCCCTTTGAGGAAACAACAATTTTCCTCCAAATGATCCGAAACTGGTAATGTGGAAGTGTTGTTATGCATCTTCCCTAAGCAAGCCTCTACTCCAAAATGATCACAACATTTTGAAAAGATCAATTAAAAGCATCACAGAGAGGAAGGCTCACAAATCTGTGAGTTCAAATGCACAGCATGTATGACTTACCAAAAAGAACCAAGCTGACAGAAAAACTGTGAGAGCAAGAAGCTTCTGGAACAGCAGTCAGCAGGTGTCCAGGAGTCTAGAGACACAGTTAGCAAGGCTAGGGGACTCCTGAGAACCCCTGAGGTTCAGGAGCACAAGCCATCTGAGAGGCGGTGTAAATTAGCAGAAATCCTTAGACAGCACAGGTAAGAGAGGCCATGAAAAGCCAAAACCCGAGGAAGAAGGAAGAAGGTGGCCTCTTGGCCTTGCCCTGAGATGGGGGTTGGGGGACCAGCGGAAACCCAAGGAGAGAGGGGGCTAAGGAAAGCTACATGGCATTCATGTGGGGAACACCACGGGGCTGGACTGGTAGAGTTCATCAGGGTCAAAGTTTAAATCAACAGCCAGGTGTGGTGGCGCACGCCTTTAATCCCAGCACTTGGGAGGCCGAGGCAGGCAGATCTCTGTGAGTTCAAGGCCAACCTGGTCTACATAGTGAGTTCCAGGACAGCTGGGGCTTCAGAGAGACCCTGTCTCAAAAAAAAAAGTTTAAATCAGAATCTCATGGCAGCTGCGTCAAACATGAAGTATTTGACTTAACATTTTCTGATGGTTTTGAACAGATCGGGCAGAAATAAAAATAACTTCGTCTATGACAAGGGAAGGACTCCCCCAGCTCCCTGGACAGATTTCTTAGATTTCTTGGTGACAGCTGCATCACGGACACCCTCTCAAAACCTCACGGACTCCTAAGGTCAGGACGTAACCGAGCGTTGCCTTGCATTTCCGGATGCAAACCTGTGATCCAGAGAGGAAAAGCCACATACCCGGCTGCTGACAGGTCAGGCACCAGGTCCTCCTCTCTCGGTCCTCACAGTCGACCCACAAACAGTCCTCCACCCCAAGCACCAGTGAGTGTCCGTGCAGCTGCTCCTACCAACCCCAAATTTCCTGCCGCAGTCTCACCTGTCTGAGCAACCAGGTGCGTCCAGCCACTCCAGACAGCTGTGACCTTCTCATCCTGAAAGCAGTGTGCTTCTATTTTCTGGGGCACAGGTAAGAAAGAAGCCTGGGAAGCAAGTTGCCCGTGCTTGTTACAGCCCCAGACGTACAGCTCTCCTGTATCTGAAACAGAGGTGAAGAACGTTACCCAGATGGATGTGGCACAACACAACTGAAAAAGAGTGGCTAAGGGAAACTGCTTCCTACGTGCACTGTAGCACTGCACAGGCAAAACAAACTTGAGAGGGTCACAATAAACACAAAACTTACAAAAAGTCTGTACACAGATAACAAGGTCTATGAATGTAACACACCTCTCCACTTTATATATATATGAGATATATTTACATATATAAATATATATGTGTGTCTGTATGTATGTGTGTGGTATATGCCCACATATGGGAGGGGACATACAAATGCCCATGAGCACAGAGCCCAAAAGAAAATGTCAGCTGTCCAGCTCCATCCCTCTCCACCCCATTCGAGACAGATTCTGTCACTGAACCTGGAGTTATGCCGATGACCAAGAAGCCCCAGGGATTCTCCTGTCTCCACACTACACAGCACTGGGGTTACAGGCATGCACATCACACAAAGCTTTTTATGTGCGTGCCGGGATTCAAACTGGTGAAGGTCCTCACAAATGCACAGCAAGCACTCTTAGCCACTGAATGATCTCTATAAACCCTGGTTTCTATATTTCTTAAAAATATATACCTGTATGCTGGGTGTGGTGGCGTACACCTTTAATCCCAGCACTCAGGAGGCAGAGGCAGGGGCTCTCTGTGAGATGAAGGCCAGCTGGGACTATAATGGAGACCCTGTCTCAAAAAACCAAAGTTTTATATATATGTATATAATCTTTTGTTAAGAAGGAAACATTTTAAAAAATTTTTTTTGTCTTTTTGAGACAGGGTCTCCCTGTAGCCCAGCTGTCCTGGAACTCACTGTGTAGGCCAGGCTGGCCTTGAACTCACAGAGATCTGTCTGCCTCTGCCTCCCGAGTGCTGGGATTAAAGATGTGCGCCACCACACCCGGCACACATTTAAACTTTGTAAGATAACAAAAGATATACTATTTGATGGCTCAGCAGCTAAGAGCACTGGCTTCTCTGGCAGAGGACCTGGGTTCAGTTCCTAGCACCCACATGGCAGCTAACAGCAGTCTGTTAACTCCAGTTCCAGGGCATCCAATGCCCTCTTCTGACCTCCAAGAGCATTGCATCACATGAGTGGACTTACATACATGCAGGCAATACTCATACACATAAAATATTTTTTTTAAAGATGATACACAGGGCTGGAGAGATGGCTCGGCGGTTAAGAACACTGGCTGTCCTTGCAGACAACCCAGGTTCGAATCCCAGCATCCACATGGCAGCTAACAACTGTCCGTAGCTCCAGTCCCAGGGGATCCAACAGCCTCTTCTGACCTCCAGGGGCACTGCATGGTACGGGTGTACTCACCTACATGCAGGCAATACACACATACACATAAAAGTTAAAAAGATAAAATAAAATAAAAAGATGCAGTAGTTGAGGGCTGAAGACGTGGCCCAGCTGGTAGACTGCTTGTCTAACACATACAAAACCCTGAGTTTTCCCAGTGCTGCATAAACAGGGTATAGTGAGGCAAACCTAGAATCCCAGTACTAGGGAAGTGAAGATAGAAGGATCAGACATTCAAGGTCATCCTTGGCTACATCGCAAGTTCAAGGCCGGCCTGGGCTAAAGGAGGCAATGCCTCCAAAAACACTGTGTTATTTAAGCTTAAATTTTTTAAAGCTACTTCGGCGTGTTCCCATCTGTGCGGCCGAGGGCTCTTTAGTATCACGGTAACTCTGATATAAGCAGAAAGGACTGGCGTTGTGATCTGATAGGAAGAGAAAGCAAATTCAGACTCAAGTGACTCTGGCTGCTTTTCCTGATCTGCTAACTAGCTCTTGACCTTGGACAAATCACTCCTCTAAGCCTTCGTTTCAGCAGCTGGATACTGGAAGGGAGGGTTGTTGGTCTAGAAGGCAGACAGACCCTCATAACAAGAGTGACACGTGGGTGACTGTCTAAAAGGCATTCAAGTTCAAAAGTCATTCTTGGATGAAAGCCAAACAAAAGGAGGCCAGGCTGTCATTCAGCCTGCGAGTTCCCAGGCTGCTCTGCCCAGAATTGGGAGTCCACAGCTGTATTGAACAGCACCAGCCACTCGTGGCTACTCAACACCTGAAACATGGCTAGTCTGACATGAGGTACCGCATGAGTGGAAAACACACAACTGCTCACATAGTACAAAAAAGCACAGTTCAGTATTAATTTTCATAGCATGTTAAAATGAAATCTTGACTATTCTAAGCAAAATACATTAATTTTACCTACTTCATTTAACTCTGAAATATGGCTCACATTCTGTTTCTAATAGACAACACTGTCCTAAAAGTTAAGTTAGTCAAGACTAATAGGAACTGGGACAGTGAAGGAGCTAGAGGGCCGGGCCTTCCACTTCCACAGCATTTTGTAAGCTCCCATTAAAGTTTACAGCACTGCTTGCCAGAGTGGTCTGCACATCCCCCAAAATGGATCAAAAGCCAAACAGGACCATTAAAGGTCAGAGCTCAGGAGTCTCTAGTTTTAAGTCCCATCTGCCACTTGGTTACTGTGAGACACTAAGTACGGCACAGCACAGCACCGTCTCCTCACCTCTCAAACAAAGGTGTGTGAGTTGGTGAAGTCTTCTGTCACTGGGCAGCCCTGCAGCACTGACGTCCTGCATGAAGCTCATTAGCCATTTCATTCTCAGAGACAGCCACCTTGTGGACTTCAGAGTGTGCAGTAAGAATCCCTCCCAGGAGGGGCTGGAGACATGGCTCAGTGGTTAAGAGCACTGGCTATTCTTGCAGAGGACCCAGGTTTGGTTCCCAGTGCCCATATGGCAGCTCATAACCACCCATAACTCCAGTTCCAGGGGATCTAGGCCCTCAGGCATTGCATCATGCATAGGGATACTTAAACACATGCAGGCAGAACACTCATACACATAAAAATAAATAATTAAAAATAAAATATATTTTTTTAAAAAAAGAATCCCTTCCAGGAGGGCAAAGATACCATACTTCCCCCAGCAAACACTGACCTATTAGATGCTGATGAGTGACAGAGGCCCCACTGGGCAGAGCCTGTGTGTGTCACAGACCTTTGTGTACCACAAAACACTGAAACCCTATTTTTGAAAGACAAACTGTCTTCCACATGAGAATCATTACACTGTTACATCAGCAGGTAAAATTAAATTCTGCTGCAATGCCAAACAGTTACATAATCTACAAGGGCTCCAGAGAAAAGGTCTGAAGAGCGCTGAATAATATCCAATGTGTTAACAGCCTGAGCAAGATGAGAAAGGAGGGTCATTAATCTTGGTGATTTTAACTCACTTTCCTTATATCAAAAACCAATTCCCCCTCTTTGTGACTAAACTAAAGTGCCTAAGTGGGCAGTTTATAATGGTGAATATCGTGTGTGAATTATATCTCCACAAAACCCCCTAAAGTCTGTGTATTAAAGAGCTCCATGGTGACGTGTGGTGGTATACACCTTTAATCCCAGCACTTGTGAGTTCCAGGTCAGCCAGGGCTACGTGAGACCCTGTCTTAAAAAACAAAGGAAAGAAAAAGGGGATGTAGTAAAAGTGCTCACATAAGGGATAATAAGTTTGGTAATCATTAGATTTTCAAATCAGCACTAACAGGCAATTGGGTAATTTTTAGGTTTGCAAACATCAGCCATTTCAAATTAATTAAAACAGAGATGTCTCTTAGTCAACTCTTACTCTGAGACAAGGATGTCCCCTTCCCTAACTGTCTGGGCAAGTGGCTTCCACCCTGGAGTCCACAGTCCTTCCTCTGGAGAAGAGGTGGAGTTGCTTACAGCCGGCACTCAACTCCACACTTTTAATAAACATCTATGTCAAACTAAAGTGAGGCTGGCTATAAGTTAGTTTTCTTTTGTCATCTGGTTGTTTTAAACTCTCAGCAACCATCCATCTGTAGCTCAAAACTTGTATTTACACTCACACTGATGCTTGTGCTCTGCAAACACCAACAGTACCTTGGCTAGACCACACTGAGCCCTTCAGTTTACACTTATTATGCAGACACTTGAATTTCCACAAAAACACTGAGCACACTAAGTATAAAAGGCCCTGCTCAGGGCTGGAGAGATGGCTCAGCAATTAAGAACACTGGCTGTTCTTGCAGAAGACCTGAGTTCAAATCCCAGCACCCACATGGCAGCTAACAACCATCCATAATTCCAGCTCCAGGGGATCCGACACCCTCTTCTGTCTTCAGTGGGCACTGCATGACATGGGTGCACTTACATACATGCAGGCTTAACACTCATACACATAAAATAAAGATAAATCAATTTTAAAAAGTCTCCACTCACTGCTTAAAAACAATGAAAGTCGGGCATGGTGGCACACGCCTGTAGTCCCAGCACTTGGGAGGCAGAGGCAGGTGGATCTCTTTGAGTTCAAGGCCAGCCTGGTCTACACAGTGAGTTCTGGGACAGCTGGGGCTACAGGGAGACCCTGTCTCAAAAAGACAAAAAAAAAAAAAAAAAAAAAAAAAAAAAAAGAGTCATTCCACTCAGTACAAGAGGTCTAACCAAGACAAGTCCCTCAGAGGTACAGGTTCCAGTCCATCCCTGCCCTTGGCAGGACAGTCCAGGTCGAAGGCAAGGGGTGACCTTCCTTCTCAAGAAAATACAGGATGGCTTCCTGGGGAAAGGTCGCTGGGACATTTACAGTACATTGGCTTGGCACTGATGGGCAGTCAGAAAAATGTTGTGTAAAAGACAGGCGTGGAGAAGCACACCTGCACTCCCAGCACCCGGGAGACAGGAGAATCAGGAGGTCCAAAGCCACCCTCAGCTACTACTTAGTGACTTTGGGGCCAGTCCAGGCTACATAAGACTGTCTCAAAAGAAAAGGAAGAAATACATGGTGTGGGAGGAAAAAATCAGACTAGATAGAAGGATAGATCCAAGAAATGGACCAGAAAGACCAATTAGAGAATACGTAAAAATATAAAAGAGTATAAAGATATATACATACACACAGATGAATAGGATAGATATGAGGGTATGGAAGATAAATGAAATAAAAATATGGGTAAATACAATAGACAAACATATGGAGAAAAAACGGGAGATAAACACACAAATTAGATACTGGTAGACAACACAGATCAGGATAAAATTCAACAGCAAGAGAGCTTAAAGAGGCAGTGACACTAGTCAGCAAACAGATCACATGGATAAGAAAGGACTGTGTGTGCCGTGGGATGGATCACATCTTAACCCTGCACTGCAAAGACTGAGGCAAGAGGACTGGAAGAAGTCCGAGGCCAGCCTGGGCTACATGCTGAGTTCCCACTCAGCCTGGGCTACACAGTGAGATCCTGTCTTAAAAAACAAAATAAAACAAAACAGCAGGATGTATTACAGTTGTGTGCTATGTAACACTTAGTCAATAACAGGCCACATACACAATGGTGCACATACCACATAACCACTGCATGCAGTAAACTACATCACTTAGACTGGTGAGGTTATACTCTGTGATGTTCAGACAATGGAACACTCTCCTGAGTACACATTTCTAAGAACACACCTCACCATTAAGAAACACAACACGTGGCTATATATAAATTTCCTGTGGAGTTCACAATCTGGCCATCACAGATCCCCCAAAAGGAAGATGTTTCTTCTCTCCTTGTATAATTGAGAAAACAAACTCAGAACGAGGAACGAATGAGCCAAAGCTTGGCATGAATGCTTTACACATATTGACAAAACTCTTACAGAGGACATGGTCTGAGAAAGGTAAAGGAATTTGCCCAAGATTACACCCATGGTAGCTCTCTCTCCCAAACCTAGGCCTCCCCCTGGGTCTCAGAAACACTCCAGGCCACAGATTTCTGAAAAGCACATTAAACTGGGAAGAGCAGGGACCCACCTGTCAATGAGGCTGAGTGGTCGGATCCAGCAACAACACATACTGCTGTAGAACTCTCCAGGCCTATGAAAGAAATTTGTTTGACTTGCATTTATACCAGAACACGCCGAGTGGAGACGAGACTCCCAGGTCAGCACTGCCAAAGAGTGGAAAGAAATGGCCAGTGTAGGTGAGAGTGGTTAGCAGAACTAGCCAGGATAGCTGGCGTGGTGGGAGGTGGCGGTGTAACAGGGTGTGAACAAATGAGTAAATACTGAGAATGAAGTAGCCATCGTCCTCACTATCACAGAGGAAAGGTACAGATGTAAAGAGGGGCAAGCCAGGAGCAACCTGGCTTGAACTGGAATTGGGGAAATCTGTGTAAATTCATGTTTCTGCTACAGACAGATGCATAGTCACGAACAAAACATGTAAAAATGGGTGTTTCCTAGCTCTACCTCTTAAGTAAGCCTCAAACCAAATGAACTCATGCACCAGCTGTTATGTGTACACTTACCCACAAACCAGGCCTGCTCAGAACTGAATCTGAGGCTGCCTTCTCCTCCAAAGCCAGCACTTCTCCTCCCTGAATTACACTGCCTAAAGTGCGGGGGAGAATCCCAACCAAACCTGCATTGAGATAACCTGTAGTAACATGCAGTCTAAGCTGCAGATAAACACAGTTATAGTCTGCAACTGTTTCCCGACACTTCTGTTCCACAAACTAGCATCTCCATAAAAGGCATTTAATCCTGTCAGCGGAGCAATGAACAGAGCAAGGCGGCCATTCCCAGGCACGGCCACCAGAGAGGAACCCTGGGCCACTAGAGGGCAGCCAGGAATCCTGCTCTGGAACTTGTGACAAGGTGAAGAAGACAGGAGAGTGCAAAGAGACAGGTTTGAGGGCCAGGAGTTAATGAGCCATTCTGATGTGTCTCCTTAGAAAACACTCCTGAAAAACTCTGAGCTGTTAGTCCCAGCAGGTCCTAAACCAGCTGTTTAAATCGAATAAAATAAAGGGGCTTTTGGTACTTTCTAGTTACTGGTCCTGTGCTAAAATCCAAAGAATGACATTCAGTTATGACTGTCTTAGCCTCACCGCTTGGCATAGGAGAAAACCTGTGAACAAATCACGCTGATGCAGTATTGTGCGGTCCACACCCAGAAGGAAGAGCAGGCAGTGGAGGCTAGTCAGGGAGTCTGCACTGAGAAGGAGGTGTCTGAGCTAGGCCTTAATGAATCCCAGGGGCTTTCCCACAGGAAGTGGAAGGAAAGCTACTTCCGGGAAAGCCAACAGTATGTCCAACAGGTGTGGTGACATTCGAGGCATGGGTGTACTTCAGAAGTGGTAAATACCTTAATGAAGCAGGGAGAAAGGTTTGGGAAGTGAGCGCCCATTCTGAATGTTTTCAGGGTGATGTGATGTCTCTTTTTCTGGCGAGATCACCAGCCCCAGCTCAAGATATTGGACTCAGGAAGGTAATCCCAGCCCGGCTGAAGGAGAGAGCCTCCAGGAGTTTTCATTAGAAAAACCAGCATGAAGGGCTGGGGAGAGAATTCTGTAAAGTGTTTGCCTTGCAAGCACGAGGACCTGAGTTCAAACCTAGAACCCATCAAGCCAGGCGTGATGGTACAGTCTTGTGATCCTAGCGCTAGGGAGGCAGAGAGAGGTGGATCCCTGGGGTTCACTGGCCAGCCAGCCCAACTTATGTGGCAATTCCAGGCTAGTCAGAGACCTTGTCTCATAAAACAAGGTGGACAGTGTCTAAGGATCAACAGTCAAGGTTGTCCTCTGGCCTCCACACACACGCACATGGACCTGCACATATATCTGAACACATACATGTACACATATATGCACAAAAATAAGTGAGAATGATCCCAACATGGATGTACGTGACTGCCACCACGACGCCCCATTCTTTCCCAGCTCTTCCCAAATCCCTCATTTGTCCTGAGCTAGAGAATAGAGGCCTCCTAGTAGCATTTTCCTACAGCCAACTCTCAGTGAGCTGAGCCTCAAAGTAAGAGGAAGAAAGGAAAAAGCAGAGACATGATACCAAACAGACAGAAAGGTCCACAAAGAGCATGGAAAATCGAGAAGGAGCTGACAGGGAGCCGGGAGCAGGGAGGGAGAAGAGCACGGAGGTGCAGAAGCAGCCCCTGCTGATAACAAACCAACCCAAGATGGGCCTGTCAACCTAGCAGAGCACTCATCACCTGCTGGTGTAGACAGACACTCCTGGCAGCTCCCTACAGCCTCCCTGACATCAGAAGGAACAGAACCCTCAGTGCTTTGGGTTCTCCTTTTGGGGTGTAACTGCCTGCACAGAGGAGCCTTCCCACATCCTCTTGACCATGCTGGAAGCTTAGCAGGGCTGACTCTATGCAGCTGCCCTGCTGTCTGGTGGTAAGTTGCATCTAGGATTCAGAGCTTACAGGCTCGCTGTTACTACATACTGTTTCCAAACCCTGTCTTCCCAACAGCTATGAACAGGTCCAGAGTGACTATTTTGATCTCTGCCTACCTGGCATCTCCTATTTAATAGATCCCACACAAAAGAGGGTGACTTTTACTGGACCCACAAAAATCACAAAAAGACTGGCCCAACCCACAGGGAGAGTTAAAGAAATCAAGGAATACCAAGAGCTGGGGGTGTTGCTCAGTGGTAGAGCGCTTGCCTAGCATTTGTGAGGACTTGGGTTCCGTGCCTAAAACCACAGATGGGGGAAGGAAAGGAGGAAAGGAATGGGGGAGCTAAAACTCTATTTACTCACTTCCTGCATGTCTGTGTTTTACTCACTAGAAAAACCAAAGACTATGAAGAAACAAGGGACTCACCAGTCACTCGGCTTGGTTCCTTTGCTGTCAGAAACAATGGGAGAGTCTGTCCAGGACACAAACGTCGTCCCGATGACGCCAGGCCAGTCCCCCACTGGAACACGCTGCCACTCACTTCCCAGCACAACAGAAGAGAAAACAGAAGATGCACACGAAGGTAAGACCAGACTGGTGCTGGAACCTCACTGCCATGGGAAATGCCCACCCCACCCTCAGCCATCATACTACTGAGGAGCCCAGTGCTTTAATTTAAGGGGCCCTATGACTGGCCCCAGAGATCACCACCAAGCCAATCACAAATTCAGTTCTCAAGGCAAAGAAATTCCAATGTGGTAAAACTTCCTCCAGGGAGTCCTTGGGAACTCCCCATAGTCACATCCCTGTAAAATTCACAGACAACCTGGAAGGAGCCTTGAAGAGGTTCACAAATGGGAAAACTGAGGCCCTGAAGAGAAGCTGTGATTCAGTCAAGGTCACACAGGGAGTCAGTGGTGCAGAAAATACTGGAGCTCGGTTCTCCTGACGCTCACGGGAGTGCCTTTCTACCCACCAAGATGAATTCAGAGATTCTCAATTGCCAAATAGATGTGTATGTGTGATCACAAGATAGTATGAAAGCTACCGTTTTGGTAGAATGGTGTCCATGGCCACTTGAATCCATGTATCCACATTCTGAACCTCACACATATACTCGGGCAAAATTCTACATGCTTGGCATATAGCTGGACATGCACAACTTGGATCCATCAGCTAACACCAGTATCAACACCAGTATCTTGCTCCTCTGGAACGTTCTACACCCAACACTCCTGTGGGTTGTAAAAGACAAGCCTGGCTTATGAAAAGAAACTACAATGACTTTGTCCAACAGGAGCAAAGCCCAGGGTTCCCAGACTGACAGTCCTCAACTGATCAGCTGCATGGGCAGGAGCTTCCCTGACCAACTCAAAATTACAGCTTCTGTCAGATTTTTGAAGCAGGATCTGAATTAGGTCTGTACAAACAACTGGTTGATATGTATATGAAGTCTCGATGGATTTTTCTCTTTGAAATTTTCATTGCAAAAAAAAATGTATAATACAAAACTTACCTGTTTTTTTTTTTGTTGTTTTTGTTTTTTTTTTTTTTTTTTTTTTTTTTTTTTTTTTTTTTTCTTTTTTTTTTTTTTGTTGTTTTTGTTTTTTTTTTTGTCTCTTTGAGACAGCTCCAGCTGGCTGGGAACTCACTATGGAGACCAGGTTGGCCTTGAACTCACAGAGATCCACCTGCCTCCATCTCCCAAGTGCTGGGACTAAAGGCGTGTACCATCATACCCGGCTAAAATTTCTCATCTTAATAACCACTTTTAGTGCAGAATTCAGTGGAAATAGACAATCATCATCACTGCCCAGCTCCAGAACTATTCCATCTTGCAAAACTGACAGACTACCAGGGAACTAACTATCCCCACAGCCCTGGAAGTCGTTATCCTACAGTGCCTCTACAGTTCTGATGACTCTAAGTACCTCACATAAACAAAATCATAACACTTGTGTCTTTCGTGATGGGTCTGTGTCACTCAGCATAACGCTATCCTTGGAGGAGCCTGTCAGCAGTTCTGTGCTTGTTAAGGCCAGTATATTCCACGAGGGGAGGGTGCACACATATGTGTGCACTGTGTGTGCACAGAATGCATGCACACTGCGTGCATGTGTACACTGTGTGTACACGCTTGTGTGAGCACACAGTGTATGTGCCACATTTCACTTGCCCATTCATCTGTCAATGGACACCTGTGGAGCTGTTTCTATGTTTTGGCTGTTGTGAATAATGCCAGTTAGTTGAGGACTCCTTAAATCTACAGATCATCTTCCCTTTTCCCGCCCTCCACTTCTTTCTTTTCTTTTTAAAATGCACTTGTCGAGGAGATTACAGTGCTTTGTTAGGATGGTTGCTATTTTTTTTAAGTGTTATCGAGGGTCTGAAGAAGCTGGAACCCTTTTACACTGTCCCTGGGAAAGCAAAATGGTTCAGCTGCTGTGGAAAACAGTATGGAAATTCCTTAAAAATTAAAACTAGAAAGAATGAAATCAGGATCTCAAAGAAATATCTGTACTCCCGTGATCACTGCAGTTATTACACATAAAAGCACACAAAGAAACAACCCAAGTCTATTAACAGGTGAATGGATAAAGGAAAATAATCTATACATGTAACAGGGTATTAGTCAGACTCACAAAAGGAAATCCTGCCGCTTGTGACAATATGAATGAGTCCAAATGACACTGCTCTAAGGGAAATAAGCCAGATAGAGACCAAACAATTCATGCTAGCATCTGTGAAACTCTAAGAGCAGAGCTCACACCAGTGACTGTAAGGGCCGGGGACAGTGAAAGTGGGGAGCTGAAGTTATTCAAACAGTATAAAGTGTCAGCTAAGTTCTAGAAGCCCGCTGTATAAGAGTGCCGACAAATTGGGCGTGGTGGTGCACACCTTTGATTCCAGCACTCAGGAGGCAGACACGACAGATCTCTGTAAGATCAAGGCCATTCTGGTCTATATAGTGAGTTCCAGGCCAGTTGGGGCTTCAGGGAGACCCAGTTCCCCAAAGTTCCCAAAATTAATAAAATTTGTAATGTGCTGAGGAACATCCATACTGTTTGGCATAACAACCGAACCACTTTGCACTCAACACTTGTTAAAAGAGTAGATCTCAGGTTGTGACCTAAACAAAACACAGAGACTCAAACAAGGACCAGGGAATTCATGGAAACCTTGGGAAGGGTTGGATATGTGTAAAACCTGTGGTGATGATGCATCACAGGTATTTATATCTGTCCAGATCCATCAAATTGTACAAACTAAACTTACTTATATACCAACTTTACTGCAATGCTATTTCTATTATTTATTTATTATATGTGTATGAGTGTACTGCCCGCATGTAAGTGCACCCATATCATGCAATGCCTACAGATATCAGAAGAAAGCATCGTTTCCCCTGGAACTGGAGTTACAGACGGTGGTTAGTCACCATGTGGGTGCTGGGAACCGAACCTGGGTACTCTGCAAGAGTAGCCAGTGCTCTTAACCACTGAACCATCTTTCCAACCCTAATGCACAGAGGATCGGCCTGTGAGGACACTGAGATGGTGACAATCTACAAACCAGGAAAAGAGCTTCACCAGAAACCAGTCCTGACATTCATCTTGGGCTTTTAGCCTCTAGGATGGCAAGAAAATTTATGTTCTTTTAGTCACTCAGTTTGTGGTATTTTGTCACAGCAACTCTACTAGGCTAACCCAGTGACCCATCCTTACATATTACTCAACAAAGGAAAAGGAGTTATGGATACAAACAGCTTCAAGGATCTTCAGGAAATTACGCTGAGTGAAAAAAGCCAACTCCAAAAGGTTACATAGTGTAAGAGAACACTGACAGACCATCTGTGAAACGGCATTACAAGGGGATGGGGCCAACAGGAGAGTGTGGCCATGCAGGAGAAACCTCGTGGTGACAGAATGGCTCTGTATCCCAACTGCATTCATGTCAACATCCTGGCTGAGCTACTACACAGTCATTCTGCAACATGATACTACAGGGAAGCCAGAAAACCAACATGCGGGGGTCTATTTTATTTTTAACAACTGCATGTGGGCCAATAGTTCTCTCAAAACACAAGATTTAAATTTGTTTGGCTTTGCTTTTTTTTTTCTTCTTTTTAATACTTTTATTCTTTGAGAATTTCGTACAATGTATTTTGATCATAGTCACGCCCATCTCCTCCCAGATCCACCTCCACCTCCCTACCCACCCAACTTCCTGTTCTCTGTATTTTTTTATTTTTTAATTTGTGTTGAGTTCAATTTGTGTTGCCTAATACTCTTTGGTGTTCAAGCATTCCTGGAGTGCAGTCAACCAACCAGTGGTTACACTCTTAGAGAAACCTGACTCTCCCCTCTCCCAGCAGTTTGTCAACTGTCCACAACTCTTCAACTAGGGATACAACGTGCCCACCTCCCCCATCCATGCTGGGATTTTGTCTGACTCAGCTTAGTGTTTCCTCATTTTTGAGGCAGGATCTTCCTGTGTAGCCCTGGCTGGTCTGGAAGTCACAGAGATCCTGTCTACCTCTGCCTCCAAAGTGCTGAGATTAAAGACATGTGCCACCACGCCTGGCAAGATTCACTTTTTTTGAAGGGGACTGGGGGGGGGGGGG